TGCAAACAAACATGTCACGCATTCACCTGTCGTCTTATTGCAAGATAATATTATACAAGGTAATGCAAACAAACATGTCACGCATTCACCTGCCGTATTATTGCAGGATAATATTATACAAGATCATGCAAACAATGTTACGCATACACCCTGTGGTCTATTAGTACCTGCAAGCAAATATGTCACGCACCTGTCTTAGTATGTCTACTGCATTCTGTGGGAGTTGAACGCCAAGTCTTAGCAAGCTCTTACTTTCATGTATTAGCTCGAAAATCCTGCAAACAAATGAGTAAAAAAATGTCACTGACAAAACACTACACTACATGTAATTGAATGTAAAATACCTTCCATCTGCATTGACAATCAGCTGATGAGTTGATGGATGTTTAGCAAGAAGAGTGGCCTTCAACCCCACACAAGCACTGTCTATTCGAGATTTCCACAGACTTAACCACAGATTTTCAAACTTCACTAGTGCTGTAGCTATACGGTTATAGAATCGGACAATTCGATTGAAATCCTACCAAACAAACAAGAAACATTAAACATTTACAGTCGATATAATTAGTGAATAAGAACTCATCATAAGAGATCTAGATTACCCTGTAAGATGTGATAAACTTGTTTTCTTTGAAAATCTTCATTGGTTCTTCAATTCTTCTCAGTAGATTCCTGGACCAGGTGATAGAACCTGCTACCATGGGAGAGTTGCGAACAAGTGGAGGAGATTCCTGGATACACACAAACAAACAACCTATGTTATTAGTGTATTGATCAGCAAACCAATACTAACTTACTATATATAGTAATGTATGGTTCAATAACCYCTGGTATCAACACATACTTTCTCTGCTTCATATATTTTCTGGACCTCTTCAAGCTCATTTTCAAACCAGGAGAAGACTTCTAAGAACTTTTCTGACAGAACAGCCTTCAGTCCTGACCTGTTGATCACGCTGTTGAAGCTGGGAATATAACGACAAATAATGGTCACAATACATTCAATAGTGCCCAACAAATWAAGGCGCACACACATTGTAGCATCGTAAGCAACAATGTATACAACAGGATTGTTGCAGTGTACATGTATGTCCACTTGAGAAACTTGTTGCACATGACACTGTCTGCAACAATTCAGGAGCAACAAATATTAATGCATGAACATAGCCTAAATGCAAAGATAACACTGTCAGCAAACCACCATACTGTTGCATTGACCAACCTTGTAAGATGTATTAGAGCATTGCGAATGTTAAGCTTTGTGGAAAACAATCCCTGCAACAATTCAAAATATTCTTTTTATTATAAGGATTATCAATTACTTGAAATTAATGTCACACAAGTCCCGAAAAGCTCTGACATATTATACAGGTTTTGTAGACTCACCTTTAGATAGTTGCAAATGTAGTTCTCAGTCTTAYACACTGATGCTACAAATCCAGTGTAACTCTGCTCAAAAACTTCTCTTCCCTTCCCCTCCACATCTAAGAATGTACTAGTTGTGATGGCAGACTCTAGTGGTCCTTGCATACCAGATGTGATGGTATCTGTGATGATACTAGCAATACTTGGGATCACTTCTACTTGGTAGATCTCTTCAATTTGTTCTTCTTCATCAATACCTTCCAGGATGTTTCCAATWCCATTATTTTTACTGGTTGTTACAGAATCTAAAACAGCATGTCAAAATTTTTAATAATCTAAACTGAGATCAAGTTCAATTTAATAAATATTATCAACTTTATTAATTAACAAATAACTAGAATTGGTGCTATTTTCATGGGGGGTAGGGGGAGGTGGTTGCAACTCCCACAACCCCACCCCCCTACTTGTTCCTCCTTATTAAATCTAAACTAAACAAAACAACTAGGTAATAAAAATACCATGTAATTAGTACCTTCAATTGAATAGCTTAGTTCTGAGCTGCCAGTGATAGATGGTGGGTTCTTACTGGTGACATCTACAACAGGTAAGTGTTGTACCCCATCTGTACCCTTGGTAGGCTGGTCTGTGTCCCCCTCTGGCACTCCATTAATCACTACATCACTTGGTATTCTCATTAGATTCTTGACATCCGACGCCACTTTAGACAGCTGTCCCAATGTCTGGATAATGTCAATCATGTTGCGCACATGCAAACAAAATATTTCCAGGTAACCCATAATAGATTCTTCATCAGTGAAGGCAATACCACTGCTTCCTTGACTCGTAACACTCTCATGGTCTCCCCTGAACCGCACGCCTGTTATTAAACACCATTATGTTTCTATACATGAGACAGTTCTGTACAGAAGCGTAGCGAGGGGGGGGCACGGGGGGGCATGTGCCCCCCCAAAAGTTTTGAAAAAACTTTTTTTGAAAAAAGAATAACAACAAAAAAAACATATTAAACCAAAACGAAAGAGGAAAATAAATTATTAAAACCTACAAAAGTGCGAATTTATACGAAGTTATCCGGAYGGGCTACCTGTGCACTGCGAACCCGGTCAGAGCCTGGAATCTGCACGTGGGAATTTGAAATTTTTTTWATTTTGGATCAGTGCCTCTCCAGCTCCTAGGTCCTCACTACGCCCCTGGTTCTGTATTTCCATTCCTAYTGTCCTAACCAGTTGATATAGAAATGATGACACTGAGGTGTCATGAAGTATGCAAACCAGGGAAAAATAAAAACATGCCCACAATTACAATAAAAGTATGAAACTCTTTAATTATTGTGTCACTATTATGGAGGGTTTATTGGCAACATTATTTTAATTTGGCGGTATGAAAATCCAAAACTTCAATAGGAAACRTACGTAACACCTCAGTTTTGCAAATTTTCTCAAGTCTGATTGGCAAAAAATTTTTCTCAGATCAGCTGGAAGTTTTGAATTGTTGTACTTACTTTGAGATACAGACATTTTGTTTGGACTTAATGTTGATGGTGACATCAAGTTAAGATTGCTTCCAGTCATTACTGATCTCTTATTGGTCGTTGGAGTTACAGATGTCACCTGTGATAATGAGTGTGATCCACCTAGGCTGTCACGCAAGCTTCTTAACATGTCACGGTACTGCTTTTGTAATGAYAAGCAGACCATCAATCGTGTCATAAAGCCTTCCTCACTGGGTGCATCTTTGGGCACTTTCTTTTTACTTGTTTTTGTTTTGACAAGGACAGCAGCAGTAGCTGTTGTTCCTAAAGCACATATATCTACTTCTTCTTGCACACGTTTCCAGAGCTGGTCCTCATCACCTACCATGGTGCTCCCCCTGAGGTACTGTTTTGCTGTTACTACCAACTGATTAGAAATCTAATTGACACGACAAAAAGATGCTATCAAATTTAATTACAAGGCAATTAYTTTTTATAGCTTGAAGCAGCAAAGGCCAATACATAATATATTTTCTCTTAAATATTGGCATTTTGTATCACAATTCCCTATCATGCAATAATTCTGAGCCAACAATATAGGTTTATACTGGCAGCTCTCTCCCAATCAAACTTATAGCAGTTATATTACTGACAGTATACCTTTGAAAACAGCAATCCTAAATAACCATTTCTTGCATAATATCTGGATACTGCATCCATCTGTCTGATGCTGGCCATCAGTCCAGGAAGAGTTGTACTGCATATGGTACTAAGTGGAACACCAGAGTACAGCTGATCCAGGTACTTGCGCAATGATTCAAGGTATCTGACTTTGTCTTTTGTTTCATTCAAGGCATCTGTGATGCTAAAGATTCAATTTGTATTGACAAATTAGATCAATGCATTCAACTATTTTGGGAACACGAATTCATCAAAATATTGTGACTAGTCRTGTAATACTGTGAAAATACCTGGAGTCTATTGCTTTCCATCTTTTCAAGACTTTTGATTTTGCTGTAATCATGACAGCTATGACAGCCTTGCACTCTTTTCCCCTTAACTGGTCAGTAACACTAACAAGTGTCTTCTGCCTGCGCTTCCATTTGTCTAGCTCACTTAGTGGACCAGCATTGATATCAGGCCTACAGAGTTTCATAAACAACAATGAAGTTGGTTTTGTTTGTAAAGTAGGGGACCTCTCAATAAAAATAAACATCAATGACAATCATTAACAATCAATATCAGTTAATTGTTATAGAAAATCAATGACCAATCCATGGAACAGAAATTTGTAATCTTATTGATTGTTATTGATTGCTAAAGGTGATAAAAACCAGGTCCATCAATATCAGTATCAATCCATAACAATGGGTAACAGTGATCAAATCTGGGGCCACATGTCAGTCTATCTAGGGGAGGGGAGGGGAGGGTATTGTACGTTATACCTGTCCTCAAATCCATCCATCAAGATGCTTTCTATCGTAGAAATCCAGTCCAAGACCAAGTTTTCATACTCTTGAAGRATAACAGGATTTACTGCAGCAGCTCTGTTTTGCTTGAAATCCGTATTAACCTGCTGGTCTGGCTTCTTCAATATYTGCTGTGGTGCTATCGTAGCATTGGCATATTCAACAAGTGTGTTGGTGTACTTGTCAATTTGATTTAAAAAATGTTGCTGTTCTTCTTCTGTGCATTGACCCCAGTCTTTCTGTGCATGCAGCACAGGAGCAAATACTCCTGACAGTAAAGAACTGAAGTTAACTAACGGGTTTTCTTTAATTTCTCCACAATAAACTTCCTTCTCGACGCAAGTTGGGTCAATAACACGGTTCACGTTTGAGCGAATAAAATACAAACAAATTGCATTTTCATCCATAACTTCTTTAAGCTTTACACAAGAGCTAGAAACAGTCATTTTTCTTGTAGTAAGACTATTAGGGTCTGGTTTAGGACAGGTAAAAAAGAGTTTCTTGTGTCCTTCTGGAGCCAAGAAGTCATTGATATAGTCAAGTGTGCTTTGTTCAGCCATGAAATCCTCCAACATTGTTGGATTATCCAAAGCTCCAATATGAAATGTCTCTTGCAGCTTAGTAGCAAACCACCAGTGTCTTTCATCCATGTTGTTAATGGTTTTAATAATTGTTTTTGCCAGTCACGCCAATATTAATCTATTTTTGATATTGTCATGATTTTTGGTGTAAATTTCCCTTCATTTTGTTGTCATTTGGTCACCAAGCACCCCTCAATACCCCGGATGCATATGCAAATTACCTCACCACAGGTAACCCAAACACAGAACTCAACTTCTACTCTTTTTTCGTTCAATCGTGTTTTTACGTTGGGATATTTTCCTTCTGTATGAACATTTATTGGGATTTTCTTATCCAATGGTAAGACGTATGACCCCAGGTATTTTGTGGAGGAATGCGCAGTTGCCTATCACGCTCTTATTGCCCGTGTTGATCACAACTCGGGGTGTGGCATATACGTCTAAAGTGTTTTGCGTGTACTGTTGCCGTGTAGAGTTTGCGTGTTCTTGACCTGAAGAATTACACGATGTATCTAAGTAGGTRGTCCTTATCCCTTCCCGTAGATTAACAAATGAAACAGGCTATTTTTCATCCAAACTCGACAAGAGTGACAAGCGAAAACAATTCATTCACAACATAAAAACCACATAACAAGAAAAGGTCAGACACTTCGTGACGTCATAACAGTTTTTTGAAATTTGTTCTCTTCAAATACTTTCATGATCAACAAAACGGCCTTATTTTGACGGCTTTTCATAATTCCTATTGCGACACATGTCTAAGCATCCGGAGGCGCATCCCAATTCAGATCAAACTTGATTCAAGAAAAGTTTTAATCGGTTCAAGGATGGCAGCGGAAAGACCTGTGTGTTACCGTACGGGAAGGAAGGTGGTGGGGCTTCATACGACTATTCGTAGGGTTAATGCTATTTTTACTAAAGCCATTCAAGACATTTCAAATATGTCATRTTTTATTGATTAAGGAAGCAAGTAGTACAACAAACAGAGAAACGCTTCTACAAGACCATTCATTCGCTTATCAGTTCTACCATCATGTCAGTCGGTGACAAATATAAACTKTTTGACGTATTGCAATCTCAGAAATGAAAATACCGAAGACTTACTGTCTGTATTTGTATCAACAGAGCGCGTCGGATTTGTTGAGCACAGACACTAGTACTCGTAGATGCAGCTGCTTACTTCCGGTCTACGCCAAGTATACATAATTAAACACTTTGCCCTCATCCAGTAATTTATTTTGCGCAAATAATTCGCGTGTTTTGTAAAGTAATTCTTGTCTTGGCGACTCTTAAATAAACTAAGAAAAAACAATTACTTATGGCCACTTACGAGTGACCGGCTTTCAAACGTGTAAAGGAGATGACAGATGACCTTTCTGTAAAAAAGTTTTCTTATTTAGTCTTTCCCAAAGGCTTGTAAAGYAGGAATTTCGAAAATATCTTTAACACAAAGAAACAGTAATGATGAAAAGGTAAATTATACACCGTGAAAAGATGAAAAGACAACTTTAAGTTTGGAAGACATGTTCCGGTAGACATCCTACCAAAATAAGTCACTTTATTTCACACTGATGATAGTAACAAGTCTAATGGCTGGGAAACTCGTTGTTGTCTTTTTCTTAAAAAATAGAGTTTTAATAAAGATACGAGAAGCGGAAGGTGTTTCTGGGACGTGCATAGTGAGACTAATGTTCGCTTATTGATCGATCAATTTTCACCTAGATAGAGAAAAAAAAAAGATTAAAAACTTTAAAACGCAAACTTCGTTCTATGATCGTCCTGTAAAAAAGGCACCGGCGGTGTTTTTTTCGATAGAGGTGTCCAGTTTAATCTGAAAAAATAATTTATAAAACAAAACAAGGTTACAGCATTCTTCGGGGTCGAGGGAGGTATATTTGGGTATGGATTGTCAGGACAGCATGTATGTACGCGTGCGCGTGGTTTCATCATATATACACATGTAGTATATCCCTAAACTGTCACACACATTGTATCCGCCGGAAAACTCTTCATAAAAGAAGCGGGACGGMCCGTATGAGGTATAGATCTACGAAGTAGCGGGTCACCGGTGTGTTTTGTGTTGCGTATAACAATGAAGAATAAAGGAAATGGTTGGTTTCGTTTTTCTTTCCAGTAGGCATATGATAGAAATACTTCAAACAGGCGGCAACACATCAGCAAAACGCAGAAAAGAACATTAATTTGGGTTTGGATCAGTGACTAATCCTTTGCGCTTTTTTGTCTACTCGAAAAAAAACACATCTTGAAAATAACMGCATAACTTCCGTATCATCTTAAAAAGTTAAACCACTTTAAAGGCTGTACCCTCATAAGTACAAAATAGATTCGTATGTCTTATATTCGTTTTTGGCTATCTGAAGATAGCAATTTGAAAGAGTATTCGAATATTTTACAATACTATTTTTGTTCCAGTGAGCAGAGTGTCGGTCGGTTATCTCTAGTTTTGCTATTCTCTTGYATAGTATAAGAGAGGTATTAGTTTGTTGGGCAACAGAATGTAAAAAGTTGTTGACGTGGATTGAATTCCCGACCTAGGGAGATCATCAAACATTCAAGACACATCAAGAGAGAATATCTCCATAAAGACATAAAACCTATCCATATTAACAACAATATTTACGRCAGTCAGTTATTTTCCGTTCACTTATTCAAAGAATTACAAAACAAGGGAAGAATTCGGCAAATARAATGTAAAATACRCTGCTGTAGGAAATCCTTTGAATGTGAACAAGTGCGTGGTTGTAGAACGGAAATGTGTTATCTTGTATGACATCATCATCAGTAGATATACGGTGAAAACATGCTGTTTTYCACAGTGGAGAAACTAGATTACCAATAACAAGATGCTTGTATACAGTCAGCGAACGGCATGATGAGAACATTCCTGGAGAGAAAATCATATTATAATATCGAACAGCTGATAAAACTGATATATGAAAACAACAAACACATTCACTGRCTCTATTTTTTACCAAGATCTTTGCAACAAGTATAGCTGGCATGGGTATCTTGAAGGATTCTACCTTACCGAACCTTCTCTTCCTTTTGCTTCACTGAAGCGTTACTGAAGAGAAGAGTTTTATTATATCGATCCTGTTGCAATTATTATTAAACAACAAAACAAAGAAATCAGTATGACAACAATTAAACCATGTTATAACAAATTATCTATAAATATTAATAATTGATTTGAAATATACTTCATTCTTTGGAACCACAAAAGATGGATGAGCCAACAACTGAGAAAAAAAAAACGTTTTTCTGTGCATTTGAAAAAAAGTCATAAAAATATTTCTTTTAAAGTCATAAAAAATTATCTTTTGATAAATATAGGTCAGTATAATAGTTGCAGCATGAAAGTAAGTAGGAATAGTAGTCATATAGTGTTTTAGTAAGAAGCAGTGTAGAGGCAGTGATGATTGTGGTCACTTTTTTGCCAAACATACAAAAAATACAAAGTTGACATTTGAGTAGAATGTTATAAAGTCAAGAGACGTGTTATAGCAGATCTACCAAAATCCATGTGCAAATAAAACTGGACAGATTGTAGATTCCTTGGTTTAATGCGTAGCGCGTTTACAATGCCACGACTGAGTGAAGAGTCCAACAAAACTCAATAGCAATAACATCATCACAACCATTAAACGAACTTCGAATATTATACATTATAAAGAATATTTAATGAACAATTATTGATTATTAGAAAAAACTATTTTCCAACTTAAGTTTCTATTCAGTTCCTATCGTTCAGTCTAGTGAGTCTGTTAGTGATCGGCGACGTTATGATACTGCTACTGATTGCTTTCGGTCAACACTTGACATTACAAGCCTCTAAACTCTGTGTTGAGTTTAGCAGGATGCTAGTCGATTTGTTTGTGATCAATCACAGAAATGTCCATTAAATATCTGACTTACATTATGCTAATTATGGATGCCTAGAGGAGGATCTGTCTTATTTTGTGTTTAGGAGCTAGGAGTGTGGAATCGCTTGGTTGTGGTGTCTATTCATGGCAATTAACGATGCTTAGTAGTAATGGAGTAGCGATGGATTTTCAAGATATCGTGCAAGTCTTACGGTAAGTCTAACAAATCGGCAGGTATCATTGCCTACCCACAGGGACGGTTCAGCGTGCTAAATCGTCTTATTTCATCGTGTGAGTCCTCTCTTGTGTCAAAAACAAACTTTTTGCACGATAGAAATTACATTTTGTGGCTGTGCTCAAGGTAGTTATTGTGTCGGCATTTCGCAAGCAGCATCTTCCTACATAACTGCAGAACAAGTGGTGATAAGTTTAATTGCTCACAACAATACCAATTTGCTTTCGTGTTTTAACAACGCGTCAGCTGTCATACTATTGTATAAACATGGTGGCCATATTAAAATTATTGCTTTTGTTAAGGTCTGAGCTGATTCCAAAGCTGCATGCTCTATGTGACTACAAAACAAGGCTAAAAGAATTTAGCTTCAATATCTTTCAAGTATCTTGAAGCAAATGTTGCCATGGAACAGAGTAGTTTGATGGATAGCAGATAATCTGATAGCGAAGTATCAATGAATAAGAAGATGACATGACTCCCTACTCGGATGAAACATCAGATAAAACTAGCTCACCTCGTAGCTACCGACGTCGATTAGTTTAGTATGTGGCTCGATGTATGGTCACTTACCACCAAATTATCTCAACGTGAGTATTTACCAAAGATAATAATGGACTTTAACATGACATAGAAAAGTTCTTATCGGCTTGGAGTAATCCGTGGAGGAAATTAGTTTGATTGCCACTGAAGCATGCCAAACATAGCCTAAAAAGCGAGTTAGCTGGAAACATTTCCGGGTACGAAGTTGGAGAACACACGTATTAACTATGATAAGGGATGAACCCGTGTGCCCATTCTAAGGAGCTAATTGTAAGCGAGAACCCGCTGGGCAACGTGTTAAGCTTAATTGCCTGTCAATTCGGATTGTTTGTGTGAGAAACAGAGAGATGAGTGACACGGTTGCAAATCTATTTAACGACGATACCCGCCCCCAGTGATCGGATTCACGGCCAGTACTCGAGTATTAAAGCGAGCGAGTGACCATCATCAAACCATCAAAATAGTGACAAACACTACCAACACTAGTTTCATGTCATAACAGAGAAATCAGTAATAATGTTAATACACAAGTTGAGCCTTGGTCTTACTTTGATCCTTGTAGTTTACGTCTATGCTGCGCCAGTTGTGATAGAGGATACAAAAAAGAGTAGCAAAAAGAAGGCTCGTATACCAAGGACGGTCTTGGCTCTTCCACGACAAAGACAAACCTCTCGACCAAAAGAACCTTGGGAAATCAACCAAAAGATCCTTGGTCTTCAAGGTGCGTGAGAAAACGTGTATCCAAATCGATCAATTCCATGTGCAGTAAAATTACGGGGTTTGTCCTGCACAGCTCCGCTTTGACTTGACCATGTTGCATGTAGAAAGTTTAATTGAAGAATTGGTTTGTCACTTTTTTACCGAAACAACTGATGTTGCCGCGACATTTTGCAGTGGTGTAAATAGAAGACTGTTTCTTCACATGATTGGGTTGAGAATGAACGTAATCTAAATAGAATGTTTTTTATAGGCAGGTTATTTGATGGCAACCCCTTCTTTCAAGGAGACATCATACTCGACCACAGAACAAGAAACGTCGTACAAGGAGGTTTCTCGCGTCGAAGAAGAGCCGTCAAGCGATTGTCAAAATATCGTTGGCCCCGAGGAATCATCCCTTACGTCATAAGCAAGGGTATCGGTAAGTGCACTTCTACGATCTTCCAAGACTTTTTCGTTCAAGTAGAAAAGTAGACAAAACGCGCAAATGAACACGTAATAATAACGGCACATCAAAACAAACCGGCTGTACTAAAGATACTGGTAAACAATCATCCATCCACACGTCAGGCTGTTTTTCGGACCTTTATTGAGGTTTGTAAAAAATATGGTGATGTGTAATCTAACTCAAATACGACTGCGACCTTAGGCCAATCTAAGGAGTTCGATATTGGGATCTTAAAGTCAGTGACTGTTGTCACACGGCGGCCCACGCTTGGCCGTATTTACAGAGAGTTTCATGAGTGAATGTTCCATCATCGGTCAATTATTATTGAGTCAGAAGGTTCATTTTAGCATATCCAATAAACCGTCTTAACCGTCTATCCCTTGCCATGGAAACTCAAAGACTATTGCAACAAGTATCCCCTAGAGACTCATTTTCATCCAAACTTTTCCCAAACTTTCTCGTAATAGTTTAATGTTGTTTTCTAATCGATCTTGCTTTTGATGAAGGAATTAAGTGTTATGTTTTGGCTTTTGAAGGTATTTAGAAGTGTGCCGATGGCTGTTGTGGTGCGGTAGTTGTCATCGGAGATAAATAACGTTATGCTAGGATTAGTTTTCGGTTCTTTCTTAAGCGCTTATATATGTATATATATCCAGAGCGCCGTCAAGACAATAAAGGTTAAACGGGGTTACAGCAACTAGGAACCTGGCACATTATTTGTGGTTTGTGTTTCACAAGACACACTTGCTAATACTTTCTATTGTGGTAAGGAATTTTTTTCAAAGGCTTTTGATCGAGTTTTCCATTCAGTATTATATTTCAATTTTCGCACAGACTTTTGAAATTTCGCGCTTCGATTTCTTCATTTAGACTCTTGACAACACGCATTTCATTTCTTTGAGTGAAGAAACAAACCATCATACTATGGTTTGGGATGATATTACGAAATGAGATTGTTTAGAAATCTGGGCGGAGCTTTGCTATGGTTTTGATCCGCTAGTCTACTAGAATATAATACTAAACTATACCTTTCTTCTATCAAACTATAGCACCAAAAACCAGAAGAGAAATCAAGAAAGGAATACGACACTGGAGAAGAAAAACTTGCCTTCATTTTCGTCACAAAAGAACGAATGATACAGACTATATCAAGTTCGTTAATGAGCCAGGGTAAGTGGCATTCGGAATTTCTATCTATTTTTCGTTGGGTAGAAAGAAATCAATTTTTAATATTTTTTAAAATCTTATTTTTTACTTACAAAGGAATGCTCTTGAGAAATGAACTTCACGAAAACAGTTCACTTTGCAAAAGCATTTTTATTACTCCGAGGGTTAAGAATCAAGAACATCTCGATGTTAATCAAATCTTATCTGATTTAGTTCGCAAGTATTCATATATTGAGTTATGAGAGTTTTGAACGCTTAGAATGACCACACAGTTAGTTTTATCTGGCAGAATAAGATAGTGCTTTTCGTCAGTGGATTTGTAGGACTAATTTGCAAAGTCATTAGTCTTTCTGATGTGAAGGCGTGATAAAACCGGAAACCTGCTGACATATATAGTATTAATATGCTCAACCATGCGTGTATCTTATCGCTGAATCGCACTAAAAGAAGAGCCTTATTACCGGAAGCGTATTCATTATCAGTGTGATTTGGGTTGCTTCTTTACGGACCGATGGTAAACAGAATTGAAAAAGATGAAAAGCGAGACAATGAAAGTATCTTTAAAGAGGACAGCATTCATTTAGATGGCTGACCGTTCAAAGACCTGATAGATGTTCTAGTTCATGTCTACGATTCCAATGAAAATCAGTTGAGAGACGTAAGAAAACTATGCAAACATCTCTGAGTTGACACAAGAAAAATAAACAATGAAGGAACATTTAGCATTCAAGATCAGTCTTGGAAAATAGACAAGTGGTCAAGGAAGATGATGATGTTAATTCAATATGTTATTGGTTAGGGCCTGCGATCAGTCCTTACTAAAAACTGATTCTATATCGACTAGATGGAGGGAGGGAGGGAAGGAGGGAGGGATGGAGAGAGGTATGTGTGCTTTTTACTAGTCTTGTGAACGACGATTCATTTCAGGATAGCTTGGAATATTTATTCTTTAGCAGCTTTAGTAACTAGAATACCTGGCTTACTAAATCCTTAAGGAGTACATTGAAAACTAACTAGAGAAAGAATTTGTGGCATTTTTCTACTGATTGACGATGAAAGGTTGCATTAGAACCACTTGATTGTCATTGACATCATAATTACCAAGGTATACATCACTTTGATAAGAGTTTTTATAAAATATCGCCGCAGAGATTTAGACTAAAAATGCAGCCTGAATAACGTTCATGTCAAACGAACCAGAAAAGAATGACTCCGGTTCCTGTGGCGACAACTTGTGCCGCTCACAGTTTTACTTGTTTTGAAATTGTTTCCAAGCAGCAAGAAAACTATTTTATTGAATGGGAAACATCACGCCTCGTCCAACTCAATTATGTATGGTTTAATGTCTTTTGGTGAATACAGAATGAATTTTGCTCTTACTGACGTTGATCGTGCTTGGCATTTTTCCCTGTTAACACAGCCTTTATAGACACGTAATGGATCGTAACTGATGGTTATCAAACAAACTCATTTTGATATCGATAACATGAGTTAATGGATTCTTCGTTGAAAGCCGAAAACTATGTATGCTGACGAAAATTAGATTTTTAAAAGTGAACAGTCGGCTTCCAGCATTTTAAAAGTCGATTTTGGTACTCAAAACGGCCGAGGAAATGAAAGAAAGAGAAGGAATGAAGAAAGAAAAAATGGTGTTGTTTCCAGTGCATCGTTAGCTTATCAGTGTTAACAATTACAAGAAAGAGAAGGAATGAAGAAAGAAAAGATGGTGTTGTTTCCAGTGTTAGCTTATCAGTGTTAACAATCACAAGAAAGAGAAGGAA